CCCCCCCCAGGGTCTCCTGATGCAGCGGAATGTTGAGCGTGATCCTGAGCGAGAGAAGATTGAGAAGCGCCGACAGATGCCGTTCCACATGCACATCAACCTGGAGCTGCTGGAGTGTGTGTACCTGGTGTCAGCCATGCTGCTGGAAATACCCTACATGGCAGGTGGGCACCTGTCAATCATGTCAGCTGTAACCAATCAACTGACAGCATAAGTAATCTCCTCCTCCTCAGTTGATTCTAGCCAATCAGCATCCAGCATGAACAAATCGTAGCCAATCAGGACCGTTGTATAGGAAGTACTTCTGAGGCCCGGAATGTAGGAATGTGTCAGAAATGCATCACTTTTACTACACTGTATCACCTCTGATAGGAAATGATAAGATTTGAGAGCAGGATACTTTCAGTTTCATTTGTTTTGGAGTGGCAAATTTCATTTCTTGAAAGAAACATATTTTTTATTTAGTCATAGAAACAGTAAAGCACACAAATTAATTTGTTGGCAATGCCCCTAATACAGCATTAGTTATGAAGATAGATTTTTTATACTTCCCTTAGACATTCTGTAATGCTGGGGTCACATTTCCAAGCCGGGCCCGGACGGGCTGTTTCAATTAACGAAAAATCACCGATTTTCGTCAAGAATATACGTTAATAGTTCTATTGTTGATATTTTTCAACCTTTCTGTGCTTTGTTGCGTTTTATACCATATTTTTCGTTCCAAATGACTACCCTGCGCGGCCCCGGTTTGGAAATGTGACCTCAGCATAAGCTCCTCAAGTTCATAATGATGTGTTGAAGGTTTTAGCTCACTGCTATCTTGTTCTCTCCATGTTCACAGCCCATGAATTTGATGCCCGACGCAGAATGATCAGTAAGAGTTTCCACCACCAGCTGAGGGTCAGTGAGAGGCAGCCTCTGGTTGGTCAGTATGTTTTGTGTTATTACCAGTAGTCAGTAAACATTGTGATATTGTGTAGGTGATGGTATTGAGAACAAACATACGAACAATTTCCTCTATTCTGACTTTTAAAAATACATGTACCCTGAAAGCCCATCTTATAAACCACCCCAGCCCCTTGTATTAAATTCATATCTTCAGTTATTATTTTATTTTATTTTATTTTATTTTATGTATACTACTTGTATTAATTGTTTCATTATTGCTATTGTTTCATTTTGCCCATGTTTGAATTATTTTGATAACAATTCCTTATGTATGTAACTATGTATTATTTCAATTCAGTTATGTTAAGTTTTGGTTAGTATAGAGGAGGGCTTAGCATAAGCTTTTTCCCTCCTGTTTTATTTATTATTAGTGTATTATGTATAATTTTTATTGCTGTTGTGTAAATAAACAAACAAACAAAAAAGTGTTTAAGCCTGGAGTCTAGAGGTCCTGGATTCAAACCCAGGCTTAGAAAGGTACTTAATACAAGTGGGAAAAAATTTCAGGGCCTGAAAAAAGCAGTCCCCATGGCCAAGTGGTTGGCTTGAGGAGGTTTAAATTTGTAGTAAAGCCATTGGATTGATACTGGCTGACATGACATAAAGGTACATTGATGACTGAGAAACCTGTTAAATCTTGTGAAAAACTGATGAACCATGAAGCAAAGCAGCTTGATGCGGTAAGAATGTTTGGACAAATGTGGCTGTTACCAGCATGTAGTTTTTCATTGAGGTTTGGGAGTTTTATTTTTCAGTTTTGCCAGTCTGCATGTTTTACAAAAGAAAGCGTTCAATGTACTGATTCAGTGAAATGGAAAGAAATGTATGAATACTTAGACACCCTAGGAAAAGGTAATGTCAAATACTGTAATTGAAGTGGTTTTTAACTTCAGGCCCCCCTGAGAGTATGCGTGAACATGTGGTGGCTGCCTCCAAGGCTATGAAGATAGGAGACTGGCGCGCATGTCGGGACTACATCATCAATGAAAAAATGAACGGAAAGGTAAGAGACTGGTTCACCTGTAGTGTGATGTTACCAGATGGTACAAACATGAAGGGTTGAAAGGATTTTGGATTTAAAGGTGTGTATACATGAGAGCAGAGGCCAGTGTTATTTTCTAAAAGACCACAATTCTGATTATATATAAAAATCAACTGTGTTAGTAAAGTTCAACCCAAGATCCCCTTAAGAGCTACCACTTTGAAGTTTGTCCCGTGGTTGTTGGGGAAATGATATGTTACATGTGGCTGTATTTTGATCAAGAGGGTACTTGGAGGGTTACAGACTATTGATGCCACATAATGCATTGACTCAAGATCAAGTTGCCAATACAATAATTATTAGTATTAAATTTTGAGATTCAGAAAAAGTATATGTAGAGAACAATTGCTTCTGCTTCTGAGTATGCATAAGGTACATGTATCTCATGCAGAGAACCTACAATGTACATGACACTTATGAGATTACCGAGGGTAACTTAATCAATGACAGTGCTGATTTCGCTGCGCATACAATGACTTCCTTTTTCTATCTCTTAGGCCACACCAATTTAATTTCTTGGTTAACGGATTCACCCGCTTCATTTTTTTCTGATTTGAAAAAAAAAAAAAATTCAGATTCAACTGCAAAATGCTTATAGTTTGCCCTGAACAGTCGAAAAATGTCCTTTTCTTCTCTGTTGTTACAGGTATTCCATCTTTCAATGCAGTGGTATCATTAAAGGTTCAAAATTAAATTTTGAACCAGCCTGGTGTGTTGACTTCATGGCTCCTATCGTACCATTTTGGGCCATAATAGGATGCATAGGCCTGTTTTTATTTTTTTTTTTTCGC